TTGAACCTGAACGAGATAATATAATAATAATGTAATACCGTTACGAGGCCATAAACGTGCGACAATGTAAGAGAAAACAGCTAACTCCTCGTCGGTATCATGTGTATATAATATAATATATATAATGTGTGTATGTGTGTGTGTGTGTGTGTGTGTGTCTATGTGTCTGTGTGTACTTGTGTGTGTACGCATATATGTATATATACATACACAGGTACGTGTGTGTATATATGTGTGTGTGTGTCGTTCAGACTCGACGAGAGCGTGAATTGAGTAAAAGAGCGTAAGCGGAAGAGAGAGAGAGAGAGAGAGAGAGAGAGAGAGAGAGAGAGAGAGAGAGAGAGAGAGAGAGAGAGAAAGAGAGAGAGAAAGGTCATGCTGTAGGACGATAGTAAACCTTCGTATGCATGAACGAACCCAGGTTCACAGCAAGCAAACCCGTTTCGATGGCTTTCGATAAAAATTGATCCATTCTCGAAGACGGTTCTTGAATCTTTCAATTAGATAGAGGATCAGATATTTTATCTTTATTCAAGAAAATTTCTCTCTGTATAAGGAAAATGTAATATACGACTTTAGTTAGTAAAAAGAGATTACTTTATTAAAATAAAAATTTCTTCTTTTATTTCAAAATTTTTTTCTTCTACTATTATTATCATTGTTATTAATTTATCATTATTATTATTATTACCATTATTATTATTATTATTACTATTATTATTATTATTATTATTATTATTATTATTGTTGTTGCTGTTGCTGCTTTTGTTGTTATTATTATTGTTGTTGTTATTAATTATTAATAATATTTAATATGAGAAAATACAAATTAAAAGGATCAATGATCAGAGTGTGATAAGTAATTTATTAATCGTTTTCGTTAATTCGACAATCAAATTTGTCTATTATTATTAAATTTTTCTTCGATGATCGTTCTTTGATGATAATCGTTCTTTTCTCTTTTATTTCTTTTTTTTTTCTTTTTTCTTTTTTTTAATCCGTTTTCATTAATTCAACAATATTTGTCGATTATTATTAAATTTTTTTCTTTTTAAATTCAAACAAATCCAATTCTCGAGTGCGACGGATTGCCATTACTAAAATGTAAATGGGTAGATGATTGGATGTAGATGTAGAGGTAAAAGGATAGATAGAGGGAACCCAGACTAGGAAAGAAAACTGAAAAGAGAGTGGCGAAGCGATTAGGTACACGGTCGAACGATCAAACGAGCAGCTGAGAGAATAGCCAACGATTTTCTACGGGGGTGATTAATCGATCGTCTATAGTCTACGTTGTAGGAGTAAGAGAAAGAGGAAGTGGAAGAGAACGAGAGAACGAGAGAAAGAGAGAGAGAGAGAGAGAGAGAGAGAGAGAGAAAGAGAGAGAGAGAGAGAGAGAGAGAGGAAGAGAGGAAAATCATGTAAGCCAAGAGCGTTTACGAGACGAAAGTAGAAGGATTACTGTAGAGACCGAACGTGTTGTCTTATACAAGATAAATGTTTCTTTTTCGTTAAGTCTATGATACTCTAAGGAATTCTTATTCTTTTTGAAGAAAAATGTCTGAAGACGAAAGAAAATGTCCAGGTTATTCCCATTTCTTTTTACTCGATCAGTCGCCTGGATGTTCGTATATTATTTAAACTGACAACCTTCTGTTAGTCGTAAATCTTACTTCCGCAAGACTCGCGAAACTTCCTTGACCTCTTCATCTTCTTCTTCTTCTTCTTCTTCTTTTTCACATTTACAGAAATGGAGATCTTCTATATCTCGTGACCACGTGTACGTAATACATACACGTAAACATATATGCATGTATGTATGTATGTGTATTACAACATGTAAACATAAGTATATATTACATATACATAAATATAGGTAGCTATTGCATACATCTCAATTTATCTACTTACTACATATACGTTAATATACATATATGTTACATAAACATAAATCTACGTATGTAATAATATACACATGGACATTACATAAACATACTGTATAAACTATATATATGTGTGTGTGTGTGTGTGTGTGTATATATATGTGTATATTAGATACGTAAATTTACGTACATACTACTGCATATACCTAAATGTATAATACGTAACTACATGTTACGTACATGTAAATATACATATGTTACTTACTACATTAGATAGATCTAGGTAAATGTAGGTACTTTTATCTTCTTTCTCTCTCTCTCTCTCTCTCTCTCTCTCTCTTTCTCTCTCTCTCTTACTCTCTCTCTCTCTCTCTTACTCTCTCACCTCTCTCTATCTCTCTCTAAAGTTACAAGGGGTATATCCGTGGAAGAAGCGAAAATGCGCGAGCATCTGGACGCGGAAAGTTTTCTTTGGCACGATCGTATTCGTTCATTCTCGAAGACTTTGAAGTCCTGCACGCGTTGGCAATAAATTCTTCTGACTCTGGGGGCCATGAAATAACCGTCTGCCGGCTTTTTAATCAGACTTTGCGAGTGTTCCTCTTTCTCTCTCTCTCTCTCTCTCGTCGTCGAAAGACTTGTCCCAGATATGAGATGCTTTGAACCGAGATACTAGTACTACTACGAAAAGAGAAAACTCGCACGAGGATTCTCTTAATAATGAGCTATTTATCGATTTGAACCTTTATCTCACGAATCAACGTTCCTTTTTCTTCATATTCATTGAGTAACAAAAATGCGCTTGATATTTATACCCGATAAAAGCTTTATTATATCTGATATAATATGATAAAAAAAAAAAGAAAAATAAATAAATGACGGATTCGTCCACGTGGATCCGTCCATTCAAAGATTTATAAAAAAGAAAAAGAATTATCCATCGATTTCCACGTTCTGTAAATGTCACGTAAAGTATCTTGTTCAATGAAAACAATATGTTTTCTTATTAATCCCTTTAATTTGCACGGTTATCAACCAGTGTGTACGTTTATTTACGATTCACAAGAGATCAATGAGACTGCGAATAAGAAAAAAATTACAAAAGAAAAGAAAAAAAAAATTACAAAAAAAAAAAAAATAAACAAATAAAAAGTATTGAAAATCTTACAACTAGATCCTAATTATTTTAATCACAATTTATTTATATTAAATAATCCCTTAAATCTATTTACAAAGATTGCCTGATACCGATCGAACGTTTATTATTCGGATTGCTGAATAATATAAGCCACCATCAAAGTTTGAACTCTTCCTTTTAACACCCTATATAACCTGTGAGAGAAAGCCATTCTAGGCGGTGGCTCTTCTAACCGTTTGTAGAAGGAGGGGAGGGGGAGGGGGAGGGGGAGAGATAGGAGAATGTAGTTAACTTACATATTCCGAATTTGCGCCGTGGTGCGATGCGACGAGGGTGTGGATACGGTCGATGAAACTGGGAGAGAAGGGAGGGAGGGAGAGAGAGAGGGAGGGTGGAGGAGGGTGAAATGGGGTGGTTGAACGTTCCTTCGTTGAAAATAATGCCTCCTACGAGAACCATTCTATCCTTAGAGGGGACACAACGATACCTCTTGGATTATTCTGCTGAAACGTTTCTAATCTAAGATCAGATCAGATTGGCATCTCGTGTTGTAGGCTTTCTTTTACGGTAATTATCGGAGGTCCCCCTTCTTATCATGGCTTTTGATTATGTAGGGATTTAGGATAAGGCATTTAACACGAATACATTATCTAACTTTTTAAATCGTATATAATACATGCGTATTAAACATTTTATTATAATGTAAGGGAAAAAAAGAAAAAAAGAAAAAAAAAAAAGAAATGTTAGGTTGTTATACAATCCATAATTTGAAAGTTAATTATGTATTATTAAATTTGTACGGCTAATAAAAATTAATATCTTGGCATTGAATTTAAATAAATAGCAAGATTGATAAAAAAAAAAAAAAAAAAAAAAAAAAAGAAAAAGAAAGAAAAGAGAGAGAGAGAGAGAGAGAGAGAAGAAATTGATACTGTATGACCTACGTAATGTAAATCAGATCGTATGAAATATTTTCATAGTATTAAAAAATAATATTATGCAAATTGAGCACGTTAAGTGGATCACCCTGTATATAATGACTTTTCGAGTTTTTCCACGAAACCACGAAGTCGTTCCTCGTTAAGGACAGTACCAAAAGAGGGCGATCAAATGATAACGAAGCTAATTTCGCCGTCTGCAGAACACAGAAAGATTGAAAGAAAGAAAGAGAGAGAGAGAGAGAAAGAGAGAGAGAGAGAGAGAGAGAGAGAGAGAGAGAGAGAGAGAGAGAGAGAAAAAGCGTATTTAGAATATGTATGTATATTCTTGCATGGACGTTAAAGGTACATTTTTGTCCTCGTTCCGTGTCGTTTGTATTCGACGGACTTGCGTGGAGTGTATTTTTAGCGTGCCGAGTGCAACATGCTCATGTATGTCTGATGGTTTCGTTGAATTTCGAAATATTATAACGTGATTTCACTGTGTTACGATAGTGATATCATCTACTCGTCATCAACGAACGAGTAAAGAATAATCTAATCGTTCGATTATACAAATCAAATGTCGAATCGAAACATCTTTTAAAGATTAAGACACCTTATATATTAGGTGGACTGGAAAGTAATGTCGTTTCTGCGCATGTCAATATTTGATTGTTAAAAATTGTTAAAAATTTATTCGTTTTAATTTAATTTAAGAAAGCGACATTACTTTCCGGTCCACCTAATACATATATATATATATATATATACACAAGGATATAAAATTCATGCACTAACGTTCAATAAACAAATTTCTTTTAATTGACACGTTAGATTTGATATATAACGTTTCAGAAGAGATGTTTTCTTTTTTTTTTTTTTTCTTTTATGACTTTTATATTATCTTTTTCTTTTTTTTTTTTTGCTTTCTACTGCAATAAAATAATGTTGATGATTTATTGTCTTTTTGTTTCTAAATTTTTCTTTCAATTTTTTTGTTGTTTTTTTTTCTTTTTTTTTTTTTTTTTTTTTTTTTTTCTTTTTCTTTTATCATCGCAGATCCCGCGATAAAGGCGCACGTGCGTCGACTCCTATCACCTGGGGATGCAACGACCGAGGAGGATGCAAGCGAAGTCGCGAAATCAACCCGAGAAGGAAATATCATCGCGCAAAACTCTAGAGACGTGAAATCCTCATCGAGTAGTGGTTGTGAGAACGAGGAATCGAGAAAATCTGGATCGCCGGTTTTGCCCGTGGGTTCACCTCAAGGTCCTCAAGGTGCCACACAATATTCGACCAGAAGCAATGGTTCCTACAGTGACCCATCGGGTTCGTCCGACTTGGAAGCCCTTTTACCATCAATGGATAGTTTCAAGGAAGAGGAACGTGCTCAGTGGGAGCCACTTTCTGGTGAAAAGTTTGGTCGTCAGAAGAACACGCCTAGGTAGGTCGGTCGTTAATCTAATGGAATGTTACATAGGACTTTTTCGTGTTTAGATAAGAAGTTCATAAAAGAATAAATTTCTTTGAGACGTTAAGTAGTTTATCCGATGAAAGTACAGTTTTAAAGAGTGAGAAGGGAAAGGAAGGTGAGGGAAGGGGGGACATAGTAGACAGGACCGTTATTGAATGGATCCCTTAGTATAGTCCGTTTGTACAGTTCATTTTTTACATTTATATTAATCAATTATTTTAATGATTCACATTTATTTGGTATAAATGAAATGGGGGGGGGGATTATAAATCAAAATATCTGCCTCGAATTATTTCGATGGTTGCAAAAGTAAATTTATTCTTTCGTATCGATAGAAGAAAAGAGAACTGTAAAAGCTTCTCTGTGTTAATTGTTCGAAAAGTTATGAAAGGTGTCTTGGATGAGCTTTCTTTTCGATTATTCAACGGAAACTCGATGAACTCGGCGAGTAACTTAGCGACACATTCATGATTCATAAAGTGCGTTTTAGCATAAAATAGTAAGTTTATTGCGTTGAAAAGTTTCGTTTGACGTCGACTACGACGGCGACGACGGCGACGGCGACTACGACAACTACGACGACTATAACGACGAGAACGAGGACGAGGACGAGGACGAGGACGACGGAACGGCGATATCACAAAGTTTAAGATTCGCGTTGTTAGAGCTCTCATCGTTAACGAGCTGGAAAATATTAATGTATAACTTTGAAAATATATATGTACATATATATGTATATAAAATATAATATATATAAGATATAATAGGATAACGGGGATCGATGGGTTTATCGTTCAGGTTCGAAGCTTATATGATGACCGGCGATCTCATGCTGAACCTGTCGCGAACGCAGCAAAGCAGCGGTTTCCTGCCGAAGTACCAGAAGAAGGTCGACTCGCTTAGGTACAACAATCATCACTCTCACCATCACCATAATCATCACAATCACCACCATCATAACTCGGTACCTACCAGTCCTAACGAGATGTTAGGCCATCACCGTGCGTACAAGTGCACTGGCTCGAACTCGGCCAGCACCTCGCCGGTCGGGATCAGCAAACGCGACGGCGGCCAATGCACGAGCCAGGGCGACTCTAGCAAGCCCAATGCCGCCGCGAGCAGTTTCGGTTATTCGAGCGGCTTCGTCCGTACCTCGCGCTCCGAGGATCACTTGCAATTCCAAAAGGATCCCTCGATGAGCGCAGTGGACATAGACATTGACGACGACGTCACGTCCAGCCTGAATACCCTGTTGGACACGCGGCCGGACAGCGGCCAGGGCCTGTCCAGCGAGAGGATCGTCTGGACGTACAACGCGCCGGTCAGCTCGCCATCCGCCTCGGAGCGCACCTCCTGCTGCCAAAATGGTAGCTCCTCTCAATCCTCTTCCTCCTCATCCTCGAGTTCCTCCTCGAGCGGCTCCTCGACGGAGGGTACTAGTCCGCAGCGTTCCCTATCACCTGCTTCCCCGACCTCGGTCTCGTCCTCCGTCATGTCCTCCAATTCTGGATCCCGTAGGTTCCCACCGCCGGTACCGACCGCTCCGCCGGCCCTGGTGGGACCCTCGGGCGACGGGACCACCTCCTCGACCTCCGGCCTACATCCCACCAACGGCGACCTCAGCCAGTCGGAGGCCATCAGCAACATGTCCAGTCCGGACTACAACGACGAGGAGACCATGGATATTCTCAGTGTGCGCGACATTATGATGGTCAGTGATCCCAGTGACAGTGACTCGACGATACTCGCGAGCGAGCCACCACAAAGGAGACTCAAGCCGAGTACTACGTCGAACACTACTAACGCACCACCGACTTCCTACGCTCAGCAACAGCAGCAACAACAACAACAGGATTCTGCGGCCGAGCATAGGATAGTTATTCAAGTTAAGGGACCGGACAAGGATTCATCTTCGAGAAATGCTAGTCCGAGACAGGCAAGAAGAAGGACGGTTCCATCTGGTGGTGGTAGCGCATCGTCCGTTGATCTATTACCATCGAACATTTCGACGGTACAAAATGCTGCCCAACGATCCTCACCGTCGACTCTAAACTCTGGTAACGTTACTCCAGAGTTCGTTGGTTATCAGGTATGTTTAAGATCCTTCTTAATATATCCTGATATATTCTAATTGATCTAAGAGATAATAATATCTAATTGATCTGACGAATCTTTTACTAGGAGCTCAAGGAAAGTGAGGACGAGAGGGAGGCTTACAGTGCTGGATTCTACGACGATCAGAAACACAGTGGTGCTTCCCCACCTCAGTCGGCTGATGAGGAAAGCGATATCGAGAGTCTCCATAGCTTCCATTACAGTCCAAAAGCGGTGGATCTACCGTCCGCCGTTCGACTAGCTAAAAGGCTATATTCTTTAGATGGCTTTAAGAAATCCGATGTCTCCAGACATCTTAGTAAAAAGTATGTTTTTTTTCTCTTTGCGTTTAGGTAGCAAAAGACGAAATGGGAATATGTGTATATGTACACACACACACACACACACATATATATATATATATATATATACATTAACGAAAAACCTTCCTTTACAGCAACGACTTCAGTAAAGCGGTAGCCGAGGAGTACTTGAAATATTTCAACTTTGAACGAGACACGCTGGACGTGGCTCTCAGAAAGTTCCTTGTTCAGTTCTCTTTAACGGGGGAGACCCAAGAAAGGGAGCGAGTTCTTGTACATTTCTCTAAGAGGTATCTTGATTGTAATCCCGGCACGTTTAACTCTCAAGGTACGTACATTAAAACAATCGATTATCGTCGAATTTCTTTTTCCCTTTCTTTCTTTCTTTCTTTCTTTCTTTCTTTCTTTCTTTTTTCTTTTTTTTTTATTTTCAATTATGTATCAATATTTTCAGATGCAGTTCACACATTAACTTGTGCTATTATGTTGCTAAATACCGATCTTCATGGGCAGAATATCGGTAGAAAAATGTCATGTTCGGAGTTTATAGAAAATTTATCAGAACTCAACGACGGTGATAATTTCCCTAGGGAGGTGCTAAAGCAACTTTATAATGCTATCAAGTCTTATCCCTTGGACTGGGCTTTGTAAGTTTGTTAACATTAATCTCTTCCCTATAATAATAGTAAATAATAATAATAATAATAAAATTCTCCGATCGTTATGTCAATTCGATTCTCTCTTTCTTACTTTTTTATTTTACATTTAATAAGGGATGATGAGGGCGATGAAACGACGACTCAGGTGATCCAACAGGGTGATGGACCAGCGATAGCTGGTACTGGAAATCCGTTTCTCGATGTGCCAAATGTTACAGGTGCTACGGAGTTCAAGAAGGGTTACGTTATGCGCAAATGTTGTTATGATTCCAATGGGAAAAAAAGTTCGTTATATACCAATATACTATTTTCGTAAAAAACTAAAAACTATAAGAAAAAAAAAAAAAAAAAAAAAAAAAAAGAAAACAAACTATAAAAAGTATAATAACAGACGTCTTATCTTTTATTAAACAATTTTTAGCTCCATTCGGGAAGAGAGGTTGGAAGATGTATTATTGTACATTGAGAGAGCTTGTATTATATTTACATAAGGACGAGCATGGCTTCCGTAACGATAGTTTGCACAATGCGATACGTATTCATCATGCATTAGCGACGAAAGCGTCGGATTACACGAAGAAGCAACACGTTTTCAGGCTACAAACTGCCGATCAAGCGGAATATCTTTTCCAAACGAGGTATTCTGTTCTTAATGGTTAAAAAAAAAAAAGAAAAAAAAAAATTAGAAAAATTGTCCATCTACTACTTCTTGTTTTTTTCCCCTCTATTTTTTTTTCTCTTAATCTTTCGTCTCCTCTACCGCCTCCTCTCCCCCACCCATTTCCTCCCGTAAAGAAAAATGCACCGTCGAAGAAAGATTTATAGGATCTAAAAATATCTCTTTATATATTTCTAGCGATTCCAAAGAACTACAATCGTGGATCGATACAATCAATTTTGTATGCGCCAGTTTCTCATGCCAACCCCTCGCAGGAGCCGTCGGTTCTCAACGAAAATTTCAACGGCCTCTGTTACCCTGCAGTCACACCAAATTATCTCCTGTGAGTAATAAAATGTAAATGTTGATTCGAAAAGATTTGTATAAAATGAAAAAAAAAAGAAACAAAAAAACAAAAAAACAAAAAAATGAATTGCTTTATAACTTTTAATAGATCTCTCTCTTTCTCTCTCTCTCTCTCTCTCTCTCTCTCTCTCTCTCTCTCTCTCTCTCTCCCACCCCCTCTATCTCCCACCTCTCTCTCTTTCTCTTTCTCTCTCTTTCTCTCTCTCCGTAGCCTTTATCTATCAGTAAGGAATATAATCTATTTTTATTCTTTCTTTATTTACAAGCCTTCCTCCACTAATCTCGAAGCAAGCTTCGTTCTCTAAGTTTGTATCTTCACAAGTAGTACATTCATACGGTTTGAGAAGAACGATTCTTTTATTTCTTTGAAATCAACACAGAGCTGGTATAATATTCCGCTGTTATTTATCATCATCGAGCATATAAATTCAATGAAACAACCTCTGCACGATTATTATCGAAACTGTTATATATTTATTATGTATATTAGAAAATTGAATATCGTTCGTCGATCGCTTCGCTAAATGTTTTATCGACGTTTCTTCGGATTGTTTTGTTGTGTTATCAGAGAGAACAGTTGCGGGACCACGAGGATAGAGTTAGCAGACTGGAATCCGAACTGGATGAACATAAACGGCATCCTCCGGAAAGAGGAGCTAAAGCTTTAGCCGTACAAAATTATAAAGAGAAGGGTGCATATTTACATCACGAGGTAAAATTTAAAAAATAATTCTAATAATAATATTAATCAATATTAAATAAACATTATATTATTAATCCTATTAAAAATTTCCTTTTATCGAATTATAATAATTTCTTTTCTTTTCTTTTCTTTTTTTTTTTTTTTTTTTTTTTTTGTTTATTTTATATATCTTTTGTTGTAACAGTTAAAGAGGTATAAGACGTACGCCTACTTGTTACGTTCAAGACTGGCATTCGCAGAGGTCGAACCATCTCTGGTAGAGAGCAGTATCGGTGAAGTGGATGAAGGAAGCGGTGCTTTGTTGAATGCTGACGTAGCGTTAGTACCTCCTCCAGTTCCTGATCGACCAGCCATAAATAGGTACAGTTACAGGGCTGCCATTTACAACCGTAATCTTCTAAATGGTCAGGACTACTGCGGGGATATTGGTTGACGTGTGATGGGTGTATTTTCAGCATGTGTGGTCTAATCCGTTGCTGCTCTACAAATATGCGCAGCTATACGGAAAACATTAGCTCAAAATTTCTAAGAGATATTAACCGATTACTAACGATGTATTCGATTCCATCACTTGTTAAGTACTGTACCTTATTGTACCTTGTACTCACACACATTATCTCTTTTAATACATATAACCATCATTTAAAACAGGCGATCATTAATACGGTAGTTATAATATTCGTACAGCATTATATAATCAATCAATCGATGCAGCAGATTTCTAAAAATGAATTTCCAACGATACGAATCATTCCTGATAATTTATTCAATTAATAAATTTCAAAATTTTCTAATTATCTCGATAGATAATATAAATGTAAATATTTATAGATGCTTTCTTTCTTTCTTTTTTTGTTTTTGTGTTTTTTTTTTTTCTTCATTCTTTAGAAGTTATTTGAAGGAAGAAAATGTTTTGAATTTTTTGTTCTTTTTTCTTATCTTTTTTAAGTTTTGTCTTTTGTTGTTTTTGATGTGATCGATAAAACAAGTGTAAAATAATTTGTACTTTAAAAAAAAAAAGTCTCAACGAGAGATCATGATTTTTATTGATTGTGATGTTAAAAATATCAACAAAAAAGAAAACTGCTGTTTTATATTCGCCTGTACATAAAAAAAAAAAAAAAAAAAAAAAAACAAAAAAAAAAAGAAACAAAAAAACATTAAACTCACATCAAATGAATGTCCGGTGGTGATTGGGTAATGGTAATAGACTAACTCTCGGCATTAGTGTAAATTACTCGTTAATAACTATAAACTCATAGGATCATTATAACAATTAAATATATAGAAAGGCTCGATTAAATTTCGTGCCTTTTTCTGAAGAAAAATATAAAACAAAGAATATGTAGAGTGGTAATGATGGTACAATATACACATATACATACGTACGTACGTACGTACGCGTACATACATTCACATTTTAGAAAATGATCGATCAGTCATCTGCATGTTAGAAAATAATTATAATAACGTTTTATTCGAAACGAATTCTTATAAATAACGATAAAGGGATTTTGTTCTTTTATTGTTAGATCTATAGTAAAACTGCAAAAAACCAAAGTCTTGGATGCAAAAAGAGTTGTCATATATCATACATATATATATATATATATATATATATATATATATATATATATGTATATATATATATATATATAGATGATATATAATCTAAAAGATATATAATCATGTTTTCTTCTCTCGACAAGTAAAAAAAAAATATATTCGACTAATATTCGGTTAAAAAAACATTACACGATATTCGAAAATATTTATCATATCTACGTGTAATTGTTTTGTTATCAGATAAAACAATATTTATCGTTATGAAAACATCTTACAATCTATTCTATATTTTAAATTACTACGCTTCATTTATTTTTTATTATTTTTTTTTTCTTTTAATTTTTTTCGTTTTTCTTCCTTCTCTTACTAACATTTCATAACATAGCTCATTAGCTTGTTATAAATTACATCCGAATGATGTAACAAATAATATTGCTTTTTTTTACTTACCAAAAAAAAAAAAAAAAAAGAAAAAGAAAAAGAGAAAAGAAAAGTATATTAAAAACTATGCGTGTATTCATTTTTTGAAAATAGACACGCTATATATATTACTATATAGAACAAAAGTTGCTTTTACGATTGCAACTTCCATGTCTTATCATTTATTTTTTTTATTTTCTTTTTTTTCTCTCTCTCTCTCTCTCTCTCATCATACAAATAGCATATTTTTATCTAATAATATTTTCCTCCAATAGATAAAATCTTTATAGATCATAGGTATTTAACGAATATAATTATAAGTATATTTAATAAGTAACTTTTGATAAATTTCCGTAGTCTGCTAAATGTCACGGGCAATCTTGGGTTTTCTGCAGTGATAAGGTGTTATCAAAATTTATTCAAATTATTCCAAATATAAATTAGGAGAGGAATTGTTTAGAAATTTTTGAAAATTTCTTTTTTTTTTTTTTTTTTGCTTTTTGTTTTTCTACCCCTTTACCTTCTTTTTGTTTATATTTTTTTCTCATTCGTGTAATCGCACATAGTTATATTTATTTTTAAAAGAAATAGATATCACGACGCGTATATATCAAAGATAACGATTGTTGAGAAAAAATGAACTTACGTGGATATCATAAACATGGAAAGTGAAGCTTTCGTTATTATTTTTTTTTTTTCTTTTTTTATTTCGTTATTGATTTGCATTTTTTCAACTAAAACAAATCACACTACGGCTGATGGCACTTAATTGCTGTGCAAATTAAGACTGGATAAATTAAGTTACGTTGATGTGTTAAATTGAAAATTTACTCATGGCACTAAAAGAAAAAAAGAAAACAAAACAAAGAAAAAACCAAAAAGAAAAAAAAAATGAAAAAAAAAAACAGAAAGAAAACCAAACTATGTTCCAGACATTTTAATGGTCTTACATTAATGAACTATTTCTATTTTCATATCTTAATAACTTAGCAGAACAGTTAAATTATATGCGTTATAATAGAAACTTTTGTTTTACCATTTAATTTATGTGATTTAATGATATATAAGATTTTACATGTCTATGACTTTTGGTATGACAAATTGAAAGATTATATCAAAATAGAAATATCTTCGTTTTTCAATAATTTCATTGAAATGTGATTGACTTATGAAATAATTTAAACTTATTCAATGATTTCAACTTTATGAAAAACAATTTAGTATAATACAATTATTGACACTGGTT